ACAATAGCTAAAACATGGAAAGAGCCTACGTGTCCATCAACAGATGAATGGATCAAGAAGATGTGGTTTATCTATACCATGGAATACTACATGGCAATGAGAAACAATGAAATCTGGCCACGTGTAGCAACCTGGATGGACCTTGAGGGTGTTATGCTGAGCGAAATAAGTCAGGCAGAGAAGGACAAATACCATATGTTTGCACGTATAGGAGGATTAGGAGGAACTTGACGGAGGACCAAGGGGGAGAAGAAGGGCGGAAATGGTGGAGGAAAGGGAGAGAGGCAAACCATGAGAGACTCTTGAATGCTGACAAAAACTGAGGACTGATGGATGTGGGGGGGAGGGGGGGATGGGCATGAAGGAGGGCACTTTGGGGATGAGCACTGAGTGTTATGTAGAAACTAATTTGACAATAAACTATTTGTAAAAAAAATAAAAAAAAAAAGAATGTGTACTCTGCTGTTTTAGGAGAGAATGTTCTGAATATATCTGTAAATCCATCTGGTCCAGTGTATCATTCAAAGCCATTGTTTCCTTGTTGGTTTTCTATTTAGATGATCATTCTATTGATGTAAATGGGGTGTTAAAAGTCTTCTAGTATTACTGTATCATTATCAATTAGTTCCTTTATTTTGTTATAAACTGTTGTATGTATTTGGTTCCTCCCATGTTGGGTGCATAAACACAGAGAATTGTTATAACTTCTTGTTGGATTGTCTCCTCATTATTATATACTATCTTTCTTTGTCCCTTGTTACAGTCTTTGTCTTAAGGTCTATTTTTGTCTGGTATAAGTATTGCCATGCTGACACTTTTTTTTTTTTTTTGACATCCATATGAATAATAGATGTTTCTCCATCCTCTCACTTTTAATCTGCAGGTATCTATAGGTCTAAAATGAGTCTCTTGTAGACAGATGGATCTTTGTTTTGGTTTGGGTTGGTTTGGTTTGTTTCCATTCTGTCACCCTATGTCTTCTGATTGGAGCATTTAGTCCATTTACATTCTGAGTAATCATTGATAGATATGTATTTATTGACATTTTATTACTTTTTTTGTGGTTGTTTTCTGAAGATTTTCTCTGATCCTTTCTTTCATGGTTTTCTGGTTTTCTTTAGTGATATCACTGGATTTCTTTCTCTTTATTCTTTGCAAACTTATTAGTGGCATTTGATTTCTGGTTACCATTAGATTTGTGTCAAACATCTTGTGCATATAACCATCTTTGTTAAATTGATAATTGTTTAAGTTTGAACCCATTCTTTTCTCCTCCTCACACTTTAGGTAAATGGTGTCATATGTCAAATCCTTTTATTTTATGAATTCGTTGACTGATTTTCTTTACAGAAATGTTCATTTTTACCACTCTTATGTTTCCTACCTTCATACTGTCATTTTTGGTCTTTCCTTTCCACTCAGAGTCTCCTATTTCTTGCATGGCTGCTTTAGTGGTCAGAAACTCCAGGAATCTATTTTTTCTTCTATTGTAAATTGTAGTCTTGCTGGAAAGAGTATTGTTGGTTGCAGATTTTCCCCCAATAAGCACTTTGAATATATCATGCCACTGCCTTCTGGCTTGCCATGTTTCTGCTGAAAAATTCCCTGCTAGCTTTATGGGGTTTTTCTTGTATGTGTTACTGTTTTCTTTGGTCTTGATGCTTTTTAATTTTTTTTCTTTATCAGTATATTTTGTCAATTTAATTACAGTACATCTTGGTATAGGTCTCCTTTTGTTGAATTTGTTGGGGATTCTCTGGGCCTCCTGGATCTGGATATCAGTTTCCTTCCCTATATCAGGGAAGTTTTCAGCTACTACTTCTTCAAATAAATTTTCTGCCCCCTTTTTTCTCTCTCTTCATCTTCTTGATTTCCTATAATACAAATGTTATTATGTTTGATGGAGTCACTGAGTTTTCTAAATCTATTCTCATTTTGCATACTTCCTTTTGGTCTTTTTGTTCACCTTGATTACTTTTCATTATTCTTTCTTCTGGGTCATTAACTCATTCCTCTGCTTCTGCCAGCCTACTATTCATTCCATCTAGCATGTTTCTAATCTCCTTTATAGCACTCTTCATCTCTTATTGGTCCTTTTTTTTAATCTTCGTTTTAAGGGTCTCATTGATGCCTTCCATTTTTCTCAAGTCCAGTGAGTATCCTTATGATCATTGCTTTAAATACTCCATCAGGAACATTACTTTTGTTTTGCTGTGGCCTTGTCCTATTCTTTCATTGGAGACAAATTTCTGTCTTCTAATTTTTCCTGAGTCTCTATGCCTTTTTTTGTGTTAGGAAAATCAGCTGTGTCTCCTATCTTTGAGAGTAGTGGCCTCATTACTCCTGTCCTGTCATGCCCTGGTATGTAGTGCCTCCTGTTTTCTAGTGCTTCGTGCTTCCAGGAGTGTAGTGTGTTGTGTGTATACTCTGCTATTTTGTTTTGGCCACTTTATCCTTCAAGCCAGTTGTTGCAAGTAGCTCTTTGCTTGTTATGGGCAATGTGTGGTCCCTGCCCTGAATGTGGCACATTTTAACTAGGTATGCTCTGGTCTGCTTATGATATGACACCCGTCACCACCACTGCCAGAACTGAAGTTGTGCAAAACTCCTGGGTGGGGAGACATTGTGTTTGCACATGTTTGGGCCAGTGTTCTGGGAGAGGCAGTGCCATGCTTGCACTGAGGTAAGTGTGACCTAGAAGGGAAGTTCCACAGGAGCTTGGGCTCCAGGGCTTGATGAAGCAGGTTAGGTAGTGAATGGTGCTGTGCTTGTTCCCAAAGTGGTTCTGTGCTTATGCTGAAGGGCAAGGGAAGGAAATGGTGCCTGCCAATTCCTTTGTTCCCTTCAGTGAGTCTCTTTATGAACACTGTCTCTTTGGGACATGCTCCAAGATGAGTGCATAGCCTCCCCACTGTGTGCCCCAGTTGGTTTTCAGACCACAGTTTCCACACTGTGTCAAGGTTGTTTCCTTCCTTCTCTCCAAGGGCAGCACAGTGCCTTGTGGACTCTATCCCAGCCAAGTCCATTGACCTTTAAAACTCAAGGCTTTCCACCCTGTTTGTTGCAAGAACTTACAATACTCAGCCCCTCTCACTTTCCAAACCAATTGTAGTGGGGATTTATTTTCCTTATGTCTGTCTCTTGCCCTTCTCTGTGACTGTGGCTCCCTCCCCACTGCAGCAGCCATGATCTGTCTTCAACACCATATCTCCACACTTCCTGCCCTTTTCCATGTGGCCTCTTCTCTACCTTTAATTGCAGTGTTTGTTCTGTCAGTCTTTAGGCCAGTTCCTATGGTATTTAAGATGATTTGGTAGTTATATAACTGTATTTGTATGACAAGGCTGAGCCTAGGGTCTTCATATGCTGCTGCCATCTTCCAACTCCTGCTGACCTTTTACAAAACTCAGGCTCTAAGCTTTGCTGATTCTAAGAGCTCACAAGATTTGGGCCCTATCACTTTCCAAGCCAACAGCTATGGGGATTTATTTTCCTTGTGCACTCTCCTATGTGCTAGTCTGTTTTTTGTCCTTCTCTGTGACCACAATCTGTTTCTCTCTCAAACCACATCTCCATACTTCCTATCTTCTTTAATGTGACCTCTTCCCTACCTTAATTTTTGGAGTTGGTCCTGCCAGTCTTCAGGTTGATTTCTGGGGTATGTAGGATGATTTGATAGTTATCCAGCTGTATTCGTGGGATGAGGTAAACCTAGGGTCCTCCTACCACACTGCCATCTTCCCCTCCTTTTTTGTTGCTTATACTTTTGATCATTTCTAAGAAGGTTTGTCTAGCCCAACATTACAAAGATTTACTGCTGCTCCTTCTCTGTGTTTCAGAGTTTTATCCCTTCCATTTATGTCTGTGATTAATTTTGAGTTCATTTTTGTATTAAGAAAAAGATCCAGGTTCAGTCATTTGCATGTGGCTACCCAGTTGTCCCAGCACTATTTGTTGAAGAACCTGTTCTTTCCCCCATTGAATGGTCTCAGCACCCTTGTCAGAATCCATTGGTCATAAATGTTAAGGGTTTTTTCCTGGACATTCACTCCTAGTCTACTGATCTGTATTTCTGTCCATATAACAGTGCCACACTGTCTTGACTATTGTAGATTTATAGTAGGTTTGGATATCAGAAAGTGTTTCTCTATTTGTGTATTCTTTTTTCAAGATGGTTTTGTCTGTTTTAGATCAGCCTGTTTTGGATCAGCCTGGTAAAAAACAACCACCAACCAAACAAAAGCCAGCTGTGATTTTTTTTTTTTTAATTTATTTCTAGGTGAGAGAGAGAGAGAGACAGCATGAGCAGGGGAGGCTCAGAGAGAGAGGGAGATACAGACTCTGAAATAGGCTCCAGGTTCTGAGCGGGCAGTCAGCACAGAGCCCGACGTGGGGCTCGAACCCACGAACCGCGAGATCATGACCTAAGTGAAAGTCAGACGCTTAACCGACTAAGCCACCCAGGCGCCCCAGCCAGCTGTGATTTTAATAGACATTGCATTGAATCTGCAGAGCTTTATCTTAACTTTTGAGATTACAGTGTGTGCCTGAAAGGGCATAGGTGTAAGGAAGTAAGCCAATCCACTTCCTTAAATCTGTGTTGTGGGGCTATAATCCAGGGATAGTGTCAATTTAGCTTCCTCTCAAATAGACCAAAGGAAAAATTACTAGTTAGGTAGTAAATACAGATTGTGGGGAAACCCTTGCAGAGGTTGAACCTTTTATAATAAGTTATCTGGCTCTCTGCCCTCACACAGACATACTTGACTCTAAGTTAATTTTCAGTAAAATAATATTTTATTGTAGCTGATTTCTATGGAGTGTTTTAGAAAATCTGTTCATAAGAGTCACCATGGCAGGTGGGGGGTAACTCCATGGCAGTAGTCTTCTGTCAACCCTGTCCCTGCAGTAAGCAGGCTGGAGACTGTCCCCATATCACTTGTTTCAGTTTAATAATTGATGCAGTTCTGTATTGTCACTTGTCCTTTTCTCATCTTCAGGCACGGCTTGAAATCTGTGCTTTGAGGGATACTGTGGCTATTCACCTGACACCTGAAAGCAAGTGAGTTGCTTAACATTCGTGTTCTGAGTGCTTCACTAAAAATAAAGCTTATCTTATTAGTATATAAAATCCTTTGTAAAGGTAACTGATCAGAGTGAGTGCTCATGATTGTAATGTAATAAAGTTTATATTTGATTAATTTTTACCTAAAAAGCATAAGCCAATGACTCCTAATACTGTTTCTTTAGCATAATATAAAACAAAAAATATTTAATATGATTTTGTTTTTCATTCACTAAGATAAATCTCAATCTCAAATGATAATAGCAGAAATTACATACTTTTTTTAAAAATGAGAAAATAAAAATTGAGTCTTACTCTATTCATAGTAGACTCTGAGGGACAGCTTAAGCATTGTAAATATCAGCATAAGAGGAAGCCTTGTGGTTTCTCTGCAAAATTTTGTAGTGGAAATTTGATGATAATTTTTAGCTGTTTTGAATGAAAGTCAGGATTTCCTATCATCGAAATATCAGTAGGTAAACTGAAACATCACTAACTACTTGCCTATACAAAATTGTTTATTCCATTGGCAATATTACTTGGGAAATACTGGGTTATATTGTTAATATGCCTGAGAATGTAAGTAGTATACAAATAAAATGTTTAAGGACATTTTAAAAGTTTTTCCTAATGAATGAATTTAGCTTCTTATTCCTGTTCATGATGGCTGACTAGAAGCCATTTCTGGTCATTTCCCCATGTTAGTTATTTAATGACTCCTTTTCCCAGCCATCATTTTTCTACAAAGTGTTAAATAATAGATGATAGAGGGCACTCAGTCCAAATGTGATGTGGATGCATGCTTTGTGTAAGTACCTAGATATTTATTCCTACTAATTTAACCTTTAAGCTTAACTGCCTATCTATAAAAGAAAGATAATAGTTTATAGACAAAGTTTTAGGAGAATTAAGTGAAAAAATATGCCAAGTTACCTTCCAAGCTATCGGTGCATTACAAACAATTGATGGTATCCTCTTCATCATCATCATTATTGTCATTATGTAAAAATAAAGAATAATATCATTACATTTTTTTTGATTGATTGAGAAAATGTTTATAGGAAACAAGATGATGGTGGTGATAACAACAGACACACCTCTCCACATTAGGAAAGAGGAAAATCAATTTCAGTTTGGAAAGAAGGCTATGTCCCAACAATCTATGACCTATCCCTGCCTTAACCAGGAACAACTGAAGCTTCCCAATACCAGTTTTTATAATCTATTGGGACTTTGTAGTCTACTTGTTGCTGTGATATTTGCCACAAATTGGAGAAACATTGCTCAAAAGTATATTTACTAGTACAATAATGAGGATCTGTTTTTATAAAACAAAATAAAAAGCACCTTAAAGTCAAGAATAATTAATTTCTTTACCCATAGTCAACAAGTTATAAAAGAAGAGATAAGAAGTAAAAATTATTACTTAGTGGCAAGTACAAGTTACTACCAAATAATTTCCCCTAAAATGCTTATTTGATTTAGTAACTTTTCTCGTACTTTCTAATTTAAAGAGTTAAGCTTACTAAGTTGGTTGTTTTTTAATTTGCACCTTTTTGTATTTTTTATGAAAAGAAATGATGTTGAAGTTAAAATCAATTATCAATCTCTACTTATTCTACAAATTTTAAATGTAATAATAACTAAATCCCAGAGACCATGTTTAGTTATTATAAGAGATTGGCTGTAAATCAGACCCTGTACATGTCAATAAAATGTCCCCATTTGTGTACTCTATCACAAGACCATCCCTATTTCTACTTAGTTTCCTTCTTTTCTTACCGGTTGCTTTAGTACTTCAGTTTTGTTTTGAAAAGACTTTTTAAAAATTAAACATGTCCACATTAAGCTCTCATCTACTGTGAGTAGCACCTTTTGTAAAAATCAGTCTCTCTTTTAGCTTTTCTGTTTCATTTTGTAGTTGAGTTTTTGACCCTACTTCTACAAGGCCTCTGTGTTGGAACTATACCCTATAGCCTCAACTTTTACTTTTACTTTTTCTATTGTTTTTCACTTTTACTTTTTCTCATATTTCTACATGCTTCACTGGCTTATACTGGTTTCTTTATATTTAAGATATGCTTAAGAATTTTTAATGATGCTCTTAATTCCCCCTAGAAATATGAAATGTTTCCACTTAAATTTTGTTGGTCTGTGTTTCAGGTCTAGTTTTAAACAGGCTTTGGAAGCTCTGCCTCAGCTCTCAAGTGGAGCAGATAAAAAGTAAGTTTTATATGCTATTTTCAAGGGCCAGTTAAGCTGTGTTGAATGAGGTTTTGTTACCTAAAAATATTCTTGGTATAGGTAATGATTTGTATTTAAGGAAGAGCAGTACTTAATAGTCTTTGATAGTATGCGTTATGTTGGCTGTACCTGGCTTGTCTCTGAAGTGACAGAATAAGATAAAACCTTCCCTCTGGGTTTATGACAGTTAAGAAATTAGTTCCTTTTTTGCTTTAAGTGACTAATACAGAAAATATTTTAAGAAAGTTTATTTTGACTCATTCAGTAAAGTATATTATTGTCTTATTTTGTCTAAGTATTTTTAAGATAATACTTAGAGAAATGTAAAAAGGACAGCATGATCAAATGCAACACTTAATAATTTTTTTCCTTTGAGTAGTTCATCCATGTCAGTTTTTTACTTTATATAATATAAAGTATTAAGAAAATAAGTTTGTACACATGCCATAATAAAGTTGTATATTTTTAAGTAATACTTTGTTAATGGTCTTGGTCAGAGATTAAAGTTTGCTACTTATAAAACAGGAAATTCTGACCTGAGACAAAATGTAGGCCAGGCAAATTTTATAAATGCTCAACCTACCCTCAACTGAAGCAGCGGAAATAATGTAGGTCTTTGCTCCTTCACTAACCAAAACTGAAGTCCACCTGGCTTTGCATTTGGCTGATCAGTCTGTAGACATGAAAACCTTGCTGTAGACTCTGTGATTTTGCACAGGTCAATGTTATAGAAACTCAGAGGGCAGAGAGAACACATAAGTCTGGGAAAATGGGAGGAAAATGTCACATGGAGACAGTATTCTAATTTTGAACATTGTTAACCTCATGAAATAATCTGTTGACCCCAGTGTCATTAAACTTGCTTCTTCTGAACCAAATGAAATCTAAGATCCTTTCTGGCTCTAAAATTATACATCAAACCAGTTAAGAAACTAATTATCAATTAGTATAATGATTTACCCAGTGGAATTAGAACTAACCCTTACTCTTTGGTGCTTAATTCACCACTTGAGTTTACCACTCTCTAATATTTGTTAAAAGACAAAACTGCAAGATAGTAGGAACAGAAAATAGACCGTTAGTTGGTGAGGAGTCAGGATGAAAAGAAAGGTGGCCACAAAGGGGCAACACAAGAGAATTTGGAGGGTGATGGAACTATTCTGTGACCCAATTATGGGAGTTATTAGGTTGCTAATATGTGTTCATCAACATTCATAGAACTGTATGCCAAAAAGAGTTATATTTCAGTATATATAACTTTTTTAAGTGAATTTTTAAAAAGTACAGGTCCAAACGTTAATGTGTTTTAGGGAGAAATCTAATTAATCTAAAGGAGACAGGAGGGAGATTTTTATATAAAACTGTACAGGTGTGTTTATGTGTGTATTCCTTTTGATTGGCTTTTTTGATTAATTTGCTTCTGTCGTTAAGAATTCATAACTAAATAACTTTTCAATGAGTAGAAGCTAAAACTGGGCTGTTGGCTCCCCTGCATATTTTCTTATGTTGCGAGGCAACCTTCACTCTGCCGGGTTGTAAAATAGTCTCTCCTTGCTGCAGGTTACTGGAAGAGCTGCTGAACAAGTTCAAGAGTAGCATGCATTTGCAGCTCACCTGTTTCCAAACTGCTTCTTCAACTATGATGAAAACATAAATACCTCCAAAGTAAGGACAGTCTAAAGATAACAATAAATTTGTATCACTTTGTTAAGTGTGCTAAAGGTATTAGTATATAAAGCATTAGGTTTGCAATCTCTGTCTCTTTTCCCCAAATTGGTAGCTTAGAAAGACGTTGGTATGTTTTATTTCAACCAAAATGACCTTGTTTGAAATGCTCAAGCAGTAATTTGTTTTGTCATTTTTATTACATTAGGCCCTGTTTTGCTTTAAAATGCCTTTAAATGTACATATTCTTAGCTAGGTGTTGCATGATGAATGCTGCAGGAAGCGATACCTTTCCAGAGAGGGTTTTCAGATGGTATATGATGTAACAAAGGCATTCTTCAGTGCCTCATATGCTAGACTTTAGTGTCTGCACTTCCAAGAAACATGGAGTGATTGGTAAGAAGAAATTTAGAAAGTTATATTTAGACATCTTTAGAATTTTAACTGCCCTAAACTGTACATCTGTACTTAAAAATACAAATGCCTCTAACTCTCCTAACTCAAGTGGATTTTAAGAAAAATTGCAGTCTGCTTAAGAAATCGTAATATTTGGGATAGATTATTTGTGGCCCAGATGTCCATGAGTTAACTTTGTATTTTTCTCCCTAATTTTTATTTCTCACTGAACTAATAAACATTAAGCACCTTTCAGTGTGTAGCCATTCTTTGTCCCATTCACTCATAATTTAATGTGCCCTTTCATGTCAACGTGTTGCGTGTCATTGAGGATCCAGTTGTTAACTGTAGTGGAGCTTGGATGCCCCAGTAGCTGCTGGTATAAACAACCACAGCCTTCACTGCCTCTTAAAGAACAAGCCAGGCCCCCTGGTGACAGCTGGCACTCCTGCCCACTACTGTTCCCTCCTTTCCCCTCTGGCAATGTCTTTTCTCTCCACCGCTCCTTTCCCTTTGAAGTATCCTGCTTGGTAGCTAATAGAACACCGCTCTGGCAGAGTCTATGTTTTCTGAAGATTCAAAGATGTTCCTCTGTTACCAGCCAGTAGGGACTGCTGATGAAACTTGTGCCATTTGTCCTACATTCGCTGATGACTTCATTTACCAGAATAGGTGTAGGGCACCGTGACCTCTTTCAAAGTCAGCTTCCCCTCTGTAGCTGCATCATAACCAGTTGCTTCAGAAAACTGAGTAATTCTCTTACCTGTAGGCTGTCAGAGTTCTCAGATGTTTCTGTGGATGTCACAGAATTCCCTTTTTTAATGCTGAAATTAATCTTTACTAATACAAGTAATTTTAGAGTACAGTATAGCCAAGTACAATATCCATTATTTAAAATAAGTCAGTGTTGGGACTCTTAGGTGGCTCAGTCCAACTTCAGCTCAGGTCATGATCTCGCAGTCCATGAGTTCGAGCCCCGGGTCGGTCTCTGGGCTCACAGCTCAGAGCTTAGAACCTGCTCTGGTTTCCATGTCTCCCTTTCTCTCTGCACCTCTCCCACTCACACTCCATCTCTCTCTCTCGAATATAAATGAACATTATAAAAATTAAAATAAAATAAGTCAATGTTATTATGTTTGTTCATGTGGTGTATGGGGGAAATCATACTCACTGGAAGTAAAAGTTAATTTCTATGAATTTGCTTCATGAAACTTATTAAGAAATATACAGAATATTGTCTCTTCTAAGCATAGTAACTATTGTATTTAACATGATTATGAACTAAATTATAAATCTGCAATCCTGAATGTCTGTGTTATTTTAAATATCTAGTACAGAACATTCAATCCAATAAAGAGTGTGTCTTTAATACAAGATATAATTTAGTTGTCATTTTTTTCCCTAAGAGTCTTTATGCCAGCATCTTCATTTGCTATATAACTTTTATATGTATAGTTTTAACACACAAAATAAATACTTAAGTTTTAGTTTACCTTGTATTTGCCTAATCATTGTCAGAAAGCATTTATCAGCTGTCCACCTAATCTCTACTTGTTCGGGGTCTTAACGATGCTAGGCATTGCACCAGATTATCTCATTTAGCCCTCCCAATAATGTTATGACAACCTAATGAGCTAGACAGTATTATGTCCATTTCACAGATGAGACCATCAGGATTTAAGAGAGAAGTTAGTGACTTCAAGATTACAAGGCTGGTAAGGGCAGGATTTGTCACACTCAGAGTTGTCTGGCTTCATTGCTCTTTAATTTAACCATGGCCAGCTCTTCCTCCCAGCCAAACATAATTTCTGCTGTCCCTCCATCAGTGACATTGCTCAAGGAAGCCTGTAAGTGCTAGCGGATAATAAAACTTAAGCAAAAGAAGGACAAGTATGTGCTTTTATGGCTCAGAGAATTGAAGGTAGGCAGATAAAAACCCCATATCCAAATGAGGTGGTTCAAGGACTATTATTCCAACAAGTCAAGGGGAACTTCTTGGAAGAAAGGGGTATTTCAAGACCTTCTTGAGGTACAGAAGAATTTAGTGGTTAAGAGGAGAAAGCTGAATGTAATGTAAATTAGCAGAAAGCTGAGTGATAAATAAGGACTTGGAGCAAATTGACAAAAAAATAAAGAAAAAGAATTAAGATACTCAAAAGTGCTTTCACACGCAAGTACCATTTGGGTTTAGCACACTCACATTCATGTGATCAGCCTGGCTTCACATCAGTTACCAAAGTCACCTTTAGTGCTAAAACTTATTAGGAATAATTTGGTTTTACTAAGACTTTCTTTATCAGTATGCCATGAAAGTGGCATGCTCTAGAAATGATTCTGGCATTTCAAGACAAGCACCATTGCCATTGGCAAGCTTTCTGAGCCACTCTTCTGTCTCTTCAATCCTTGTATGCAGTTTTCTTAGAGGAGATAAAAAGAAAAGATTACACATTAATTCCAGATTTGGTGCAAGATGGTGATATGTTTCAGTTTTGATTATGTGCTGGAGGATATTCTTTTAGATGTGTGAGAGCATTATGATGTGTTTTCTGAAAAGTTATAAATTTCAACAAAATTTTATATCAAGATTAGGTTTCTAAAATAAAATTAGCTCTATTTTATTTAATATTAGCTTAAAATAATTATGCTTAACTGTAGACAGACTAGCATACATTTTTGTCATTAAACATTTTTCTAGCAGTGCTATCATAAAGGTTTTCATATGGATATATAAAATGCTCTGAAAATTTAAGATATATTGAATATTTTATATACATACCTCACTTGGAAGAGCAGAGGGTTTTTTTTAACTGTTAATTTATTTATTTTTCTGTCTTGAGATTTTTTTTCTCTATTTTTTTCCTCCTTTGTATTTAGTTTTTTAAATATAGTTTGTCAAATTGGTTTCTATATAACACCCAGTGTTCATCTCAACAAGTGGCCTCCTCAGTGTCCATCACCCATTTTCCCCTCTCCCCCATGCCCCATCAACCCTCAGTCTGTTCTCAGTATTTAAGGGTCTCTCATGGTTTGCCTCCCTCCCTCTATGTAACTGTTTTTTTCCCCTTCCCCTCTCCTATGGCCTTCTGTTAAGTCTCTCCTGATCCACACATGAGTGAAAACATATGGTATCTGCCTTTCTCTGCCTCACTTATTTCACTTAGTATAATACTCTCCAGTTCCATCCATGTTGCTACAAATGGCTAGATTTCATTCTTTCTCATTGCCATGTAGTATTCCATTGTATAGATAAACCACATCTTCTTGATCTGTTCGTCAGTTGATGAACACCTAGGCTCTTTCCATGTTTTGGTTATTGTTGAGTGCTGCTATGAACATTGGGGTACATGTGCCCCTATGCATCAGCACTCCTGTATCCCTTGGGTAAATTCTCAGCAGTGCTACTGCTGGATCATAGGGGAGTTCTACTGTTAATTTTTTGAGGAAACTCCACACTGTTTTTCAGAGCAGCTGCACCAGTTTGCGTTCCCACTAACAATGGAAGAGGCTGCCCATTTCTCCACATCCTCGCCAACATCTATAGTCTCCTGATTTGTTCATTGTAACCACTCTGACCAGCGTGAGGTGGTATCTCAGTGTGGTTTGGTTGGTAATTCCCTGATGATGAGTGACATTGAGTATCATTTCATGTGTCTGTTGGCCGTCTGGATGTCTTCTTTGGAGAAGTGTTTGTTCATGTCTTTTGCCCATTTCCTCACTGGATTGTTTTTCGGGTGTGAAGTTTGGTGAATTCCTTATAGATTTTGGATACTAGCCCTTTATCTGATATGTCATTCAGCAGGGTTCTTTAAAAAGTAAATGTCAGAACAGCAACTTTAATGATTTAAGCTTTGCGTTGAATGTGTATTTTTATATATTAGAGTGATATTTTTGGTGTGTTGGTGTCTTCTTTCTATTCACCCATATTTGTAATTCAGTTTTATCATATGTATCACTGGAAAGCCTTTTTGTACCTGGCCAGGTTATAAATACATAACAGATATTTTATAAATAAGGTCTGGGTCTTTGGGTTATTTGTTTGTAACTTGGCCAATAAAAGTCAATAGGATGTCAAAATAAATTTTCCCTGTCCAGCCGATAAACTCTTTCTAGCCTTAGACACAGGAAGTACTGCAGCTGATCACACTGTCTACTGTAGTTGGTTGCATTGTTTTCATCAACATCATAACCATGACTGGTGTCCTACTGGCTGTGTTGCTGTAATCATTGTTGATAGAATTGTGGTTGTTCTCATTATTTCTATCACATTTTTCTTGAATATTCCTGTCCCACCTGCCTACAAGCTCTTCAGCAAGAGAACCAAGACAACTACATGATCACTACCTGCCAAAGAAGGCCTACAGAAGGACTCATCACAGAGGGATGAGGAGAACCAGGGAAGGATACAGTAATGTGGGTCACAAAAATAAAGAAAAGAATAAGAATCATGTTGGAATATACAGATTGTTGGCAAGGTCAAATGTTGCAGATGTGTACAAAGGATAAATACTGAGAAATGGTTGCTAGACGTGGCATTTGGAAAATCATAAACGACCAGAGAATGATAAGGAAGGAATCAGAGAAACTTTCTCTTAACTTGCCCACAAGAGCTGTCAAGAAAGCTGTCTCTTTCTTGAAGATCACAAAATACTCAGGCCTCAGCACAAAAGTGAAATTTCTAAGGGTCAATCTTTTTTTTAATTTATTTAGATTTTAGTTAACATACAGTGCTATATTGGTTTCAAGAGTATAATTCAGTGAATTATCACTTACATACAACAGTCTGCATCACAAGTGCCCTACTTGATACCTATCACCTACCTGGCCCATTTCCCACCTACCTCCCTTCATCAACCCTTAGTTTGCTCTCTATCATTAAGTGTTTCTTATAGTTTGCTTCCCTCTCTCTTTCCTCTCCGCCTTCCCATATGTTCACCTGTTGTGTTTCTTAAATTCCACATATGAGTTAAATAATATGGTAATTGTCTTTCTCTGATTGACTTATTTCACTTAGCATGATACATTCTAATTCCATTGATGTCATTGCAAGTGGCAAGATTTCATTATTTTTGATGGCTGAGTAGTATTACAATGTATATTCATACCACATCTTCTTTACTGATTCATCAATTGATGAACATGGGCTCTCTTCATATTTTGGCTATTGTTGATAATGATGCTATAAATATTGGGATCCATATACCCCTTCGAATCTGTATTTTTGTATACTTTGGTTAAATACCTAATAGTGAGATTGC